TCTCTTCATAGTTAAAAAAAATTGAAATTTTAATCCCAGAAAATCGTAAATGAAAAGTGTATGAGAAATGAAACTAAGTTATTCCAATTATGAGGTAAAATTTGAATATTTGAGTAAATATGAAAAACAGAAGACACATTTGAGTAATTGTTGCTCCGCCAAACATTAAAAAAATAAAATAAAATAAATAAACATCTCTAGATTTATGTAATTATACTAGAACACTAAATCATATTAATTGATATTAAAGTTTGAAATCCGTATACAAAATGTGATACACAATCTTAATCATAGGAATCTGGTCGGTATACGGTATACCAATATAATACAACCGGTTATTAACAACATTGCTCAAAATTTAAAAACTATTTTTAAGGGGTTTTATGATTTATGAGAAGGTCCTTCACCAAACATCTAAATTAAAGGTTTATTTTATTTTTCTTTCATCAATAAATTTACTCGTTCAACATGTATTATAAACAAATGCAATTATAATATTTCTGACGAAATAACCGCGAACCATTTAAAGCCAATTTCTGATTGTAATCTAATTTAACTTCAATTTCATTGATTTTGATTTTTCTTTTTTGATTTTGTTATCTTTTTATTGCCGGAGACCGACGTTAAACACCGTGTCTCTCCAGTTTTGATTTTTTTTTAAATTTATTTCCCACCTGCGGACCGGCGATCAACCACAGTAAAATTACTATGGTTGACAGTAATATAACTATACTACTACGTAATATTATTGTCAACAATAATATTAGTAATTCGTTTGGTTTTGTTTTTTTTGTTTTTTATTGTGTTGACCCGCCAACATAATAATATTACTGAGTTACACAATAATATTATTTTGTAACACAATAATATTGTTGTTAATATTACTGTGTTACACAATACGATTAATATATATATTTTTAATATTATTGTACTAGAATAATAGTACTGTGAAATATATAGTAATATTACTGTCCACAACAGTAATATAGTTAATATTATTGTCAACCACATTATATTACTATTGTTTGTACATGGGAAAAAGTGTTCAAGAATAAAACAAGTTGATAAGAAAAAAATAATATTGGAGATCGAGGTTGACCGCCGGTTATTGGCGGCAAAAAAATAATTTCAAAAACAAACCAAAAAAGTGAATGCCGATGACCGGCAGTGAACGGAACGGCATCGGTGGTCAAAATTGGATGATGGGTTAAAAGAATAGTTGGTGAAGTTGTAATTAAATATATGAAATTAAAGTATATTAAAATTTGAGGGGTTATTTTAGTCTTTTACACAACTTTAAGTATATTTGTAATTTTTGTTTTAGGTGGACCTAGTTAGGAGTAAGTAGACCACCATGAACTTATTGATAATAGCTCCTATTTTTAATTAACAAATGCTAAATTTATAATAATATATATGCGTGAACTATACATACCCCGTTCCATATTTAAGTTAATAGTACACCCCTTAAATATGCAGTTAAACCTTTATAAAACACTGGTTGAAAAAAAAATATCTTTTTTGAAACGTGTGTAGGCATGCACAACTAATTGTGAGATTAGTTTTCTGTTCAATGTATATATATGTCTCTGAAGAGTTTACAAGGAAAGAACTAAGGAAACAAATTCCTTCTTTCACAAGTAATGCTATAGCCGATTTTTCCTAATTAAATTTTAGGAAAAAAATGTTCATCCATCTCTTTCTCCTATATTCCATTGGTTGAATTTTATTTTCTCGATTAATTAGAAAATCTATTAGGCTACAATATGGACTAGAGGAGAAAATATAATCCGGACAACTACTAATTAATTAAATTCAAACTCTAAAAATAATAAATTTAATTAATCATTAAATAATTATTTATTTTCCACTACTAAATAATTATTGAACTCTCGTTTATATTCTCAAATATTACATTCGAGTTCCGGTTCATCATTACTTAGATTCTTCCCATATTAAGATATCTTATAACCATCAAATAATTTATTGACTGCTAAATAAATTAAATGATCTTTTTCATGAGTCTTACCCTCTCAACTTATTTGAATAAGCCGGATACGGAATCTCTTGGCCAGGACTTGGCATAAACAAATTTTATAAGTTACTCAAGGGTTATTATCAATCACATATTTCAGAGTGTGGATTCCTTTCGATAATTAATTTCCACATGTTAATTTTTAGCGTCTCTACCCAGTGCACTGAGTTCATTTGACTCAATATAGGAATTATCTCATTGTGAATAAAAGTAGAGATCATCAATTAAATGTGTACGTTAATTATCCAGGGATTAAGAGAGTAAGTAATTTACTGTCAACTAGAAATAATATAGTTTCATTTTGAACAATGATGAAACAATTATTTTACTTTCTCCGGCTCAACACATGTTGGGTGCGCTAGCACAATAAGTTACAACAATAACTAAAAAAATTATTCTATGTTTACCGTCATCAAGATCAATTACCCAATTATTATGCTACAATCTTTTACCAATTGTAAGTCCAATTCCATCTAAATTGTGAATATTTATTTTTTATGTTCTAAACGAACTTTCGAAATGATCTTTCTGTGCGCCGTATTACACCATTTTGGATACTATTAAAATACTAGAATTATGCATGTAATTGATTGACAATAGTCGATATCTTATTAAATGCATTGAATGTTTTAGTGCATTTTCTTATAAAATGATAATATAACATTTTATTAATTCAATAATAAAAATATGTAGCTAAAAGCGAGACTTTTAGTCTACTATCTCAACGCTAACTGCCGGCAACGAAGTTGAATTCTCATATTCCAAATCTATCAATACATGCTACCACAAGTACACAACGAATCACCATAAGGAATAGTGGATCCAATCTCCAATCTGCTACACTTTGTTCCCTTTGATCAAATTATAAATGACTATCCAGATTTACGTGTGATGATTTATCTGATATTAATGCGGATGTTTTTTCATGAGTTTTCATATATGTAGGGGCGGATTCAGGGTGAAAAGTTGGGGGCTACAGCCCCCTGCCCCTTCATAGGTCTGCCACTGCATATATGGATCTCTTCTTCAGCTTTTTCCATATATATATATATATATATATATATAATCAACTCACAGTCCGATTCTTTCCAATCCAAAATCATCTCCTCGCGATAAAGTCTAGGCGGTACCCAGTCATAAATTAACTACTGCAAGGGCGCACAAAGTACATATGACAAAATGCTATGAACCCTAATTCTATAGTTTATATAGTAAAACATCTATAAATTTATACTCGATAAATTAATAACCTCGATAAAATTAATAATTTGTCTAGTCCCAACTTGGGACCAGTACAAAATTGGACCCCAATCGACAAAATAATAAGATAATTTTTTTTTTAAATCCCATTGTATATATATTGGTCCCAACGAAACTATAAATTAATAATTACTAAAAGATCCCAAATTCTAAAATTGTATAGTAAAAATGACTTTATAGTCACTTGTTTTTTGTTGAACTTCAAATCTATATTGAGTTCATCTTTAAATCTACTCATTGCACTTAAAGTTGGGGCATTGTCTTCTCGTATTGGAACAAAAAGTTGTGAAGAATTGTAATGCGTTGGTACCATGAACCAACTTTTTGTTACCATGAACTAACTTTTTACTAATTAAAAAACAATGAACTTGACAAATTTTATTAATTTGTGAATTTACATTCATAGAATGTGCCTTGTAACTAGTACATTGGACTTGGAAATTTAAAGTCATATGTAAAACATCTTTAAATTAATAAATTATTAATTTCTCAATATAATAATATCTCGTTAAATTAATAAAATATATCGGTCCCAACATTATTAATTTATAGAGGTCTTATTGTATACTAATAAGAGTTGTGTTATTTCCACATTCAAAGTATCTCAATTCACCACCAATATATAAAATATCATAAATACCCCTTAAATTTCTAATTCACCACCCTTCCTTATATTCGCTTAATCCTCATGTGTTTTAAGTTATTTCTATTTCATTGTTTATTTTATTTTTATTTATTTTTTTGCAATGAAATATTTATTACAAGATATTTAAAATTTCATATTAGATGACCTGCAGATTATGTAACTTTTTCTTTAGGAAACGAAATTATATTAAGCCAAACCGGCTAATTGTGTAGGAAGTTCAGAACCTTCAATACAAACAGTCTTAATTTATTTCTCCAAGAACAAGAATTCCTGCTCTTTTTGACCGTCGGAGATGTTTTCCTCTGACGAAGGTATTGTTCACTTAAGGTAGAGAGGGTGGGATTTTGCGGTAAATATTACAGTGAAAAATTGTGGAGTTTATTTATAAATATAGGTGAAAGAAGAAGAAATGGGTAAAATAGGAGAATATAATAAGATATTCCGGAAGGTGGAAATATCACGTCTTTATTACTAATAATTCTATAGTATATATACTAATAATTCATAAAAGACTTCTCATTTTGTTGTTGTTATAGTAGGTGCAATATTGAATCTCGTTCCCGACTTTCCTAATCACGGTAATGAAGGACTTTTTGCATTTTACGTAACTCTAGCAAATGGGAGTTAGATGCTACACCTAATTACTTACATCGGGTGAATTTCAACAATAGATTTGATTAATTAACAACTAACTAAGCACACATATACACGGGTCTGTGTGTGTGATTATGTATAGATCCACAGTTGAAATCTACCTAGCATAAATAACCAGGTGTAGAGTAACAAAACGAATAGTATTTGTAAGAAGATAACTATTGTCTTTTGAATAGTAATTTATGGTGTTGTAAATAGCAGTTCTCTTTCAAGAGTATTTACATCAAAAGAAGATCTGCAGTTAATTTCCAGCAAGCAAAAAAAACCAGAGAAGGAAAAAAGTGCAACCAAGACTAATCGAAGATATAAATACTCCAGTAATCAACTCTCCTCCTCCCATACCGATTACTAACGAGAAGCATCACAATACCTTAACACAAAAGTCATCGAGATCCAATGGTGTTCCATCCAGATGTTCGTTCGGGCCCTCCCCAAATTTGTGCAAGTCTTTTTTCGTAAAATTCTAACAGGTGGTATAACTTTCGAAATAATGATTCGAGTTGCAGATCGTTTTCCAAAGCTGTATCAACATTATTATCTGCGGCAAACTGCTCGTTACTTCCACACTTTCGTTGCAATCCATTCATCCATCTGACCGTATCTAATTACCGTCACAGACACTAGCGGAGCCAAGATTTTAAGTTTGCGGCGGCCGAATGCATTAAAAAAATTATGAGAGGGGGGCGATAATGCTACTTGTACACGATCTTTTTAGATCCTTACATAAAACTATAGGGATTCGAGAACTGTAGGGGGGCCATGGTCCCCTCTGGCCCCCTATGTTGGCTCCGCCACTGGCCACATACATTATTATGTAGCCTCAAAAGCAAATCAAATGTCCACAACATAAGCCTTCGTCTCTCATATGTCCAAACAGCTCCATCAGTACACCATAAATATCGCCACCTCGTGCATAGCGTTTCATCGGCAACGACAAAACTGTGAATCTTTTTCTCAATCTCAATCCAACTTATTCCCGTCTCTTTCGCGATTCCGTTCTCCTTCATTTTCTTGATTGTTTTCGCCCGGCTCTTTCCACCTCCCTTTAGAAGAGTAAATATTAGCCATGGAAACAAACGAGTACTGGACTATCAGGTGCACACTGAGCTAGCCGGTCAGCCGCGTACTGTCCCGTTTCAATATCACCGTAAATACTACAAGCACCGAGTAACGATTGCCAGACGAGTACATCGGGCTTCACCGGTAGTACCTCGATAAAATCCTTTGCTTCTTTCACTAGCCCTGCTCGACCTAGCATGTCTACTATACATGCATAGTGCTCCATTCTTGGTACCATTCCGTACGATTTCTTCATACAGTCTAGAAACTCCATACCCTTGTGTGGTAATCCTACATGACTACATGCATGAAGCAAAGATAGAAACGTAACATCCGTGGGCCCCACACCATTCAACTTCATTTCTTCGTAGAATTCAAGCGCTTTCGACCCATCTCCATTACGGGCAAAAGCTGCAATCATTGAATTCCAAGAAACGTGATTTTTCCGAAGCATCTGATTAAAGAGTTTAACGGATTGTTCCAACTCACCGCATTTAGAGTATACGTTGATTAATCCATTGCTGACAAAGACATTAGACGCAAAGCCTTTCTTGATAACAAAAGAATGAATTTGTACACCTAGACCCTGCGAAGTAGTATCGAAGGGGAATACACCAAGAACGGCAGAGATCATGTTCGGGTCCACATTGTTTCCCGCCTTTACCATCTTCACGAACAACTGTACAGCCTCTTCTTCGAATCCGTTTTGCGCTAAACCCATGAGAATGACAGTTACAGAAACCTCATCGAACACCTTCGCGTACTCGAATATCTGCCAAGCATCCTCCACACTACCGCATTTCGAATACATATCCATCAACGCACTTTCGATGCATAAATCTGATTGAATCCCTAACTTGCAAACAAGACCATGAATTTGAGCACCCTCTTTGAGTGCTTGAAGTCCCGAGCATGCTGAGAGTGCACTCAAATATGTCAAACAATTGGGAGTCACCATACCGCCTCCGTGCATTTCGACAAAAAGATTCAAGCTTTCACCGTAGAAATCATTTTGCGCTAGACCCGAAATTGCAGCCGTCCAAGAAACGACATTCTTATCCACCATCTCGTGAAAAACGCGCATACCCGAATCGAAAGAGCGACATCCAAAATAGGATGTCGTCAAGGCATTCCCAACGGTCACTTCGTCGACATAACCACTTAAAACCGCCAATCCGTGCATCATCTTCACGATTTCAAGCGACTCCATTCCACCACAAGCCGATAGCATCGAAGTTAAGCTCGCTTGATCAAAACTACAGATACCGGAACTCAACATCGATTTGAAATACCCGAACCCCAGTTGGAAGTTCCCGCGTTTCAAGAAACCCGAGATGAGTGAGTTCCATGAGACGGTATCCTTCAGGGGCAAATCGTCGAACAGCTTAACTGCACTCTCTAGCTCGCCGCTCTTACAGTACGTATTGAGCAAACAGTTGTAAATTAGGTTAGCGCTTCGACGACCAAGTGGGTAACCAAGAAATACGAGAGGTGGGCTCTTGATAATAGATGCGTGGAGACAAGAACGCATACGAAAATTGCTTTCTTTCGCACAAGAAGTGAGAAGGAGGACTAGGTTTGATTCTATGGTGGGACTGAAATTCATGTCGGAGAATTGTGGAGAAAAGGAGAGCGGCAGAGTTGAGGAAAAACGCCATGAATGAAGAAACAGAGATCGTAGTGGAGGAGAGACGAGTTTTTGGAAGACTGCAGTCATCCATCAAAATAAATGTAGAATCAGTGCTAATTTAGCAGATTGCAAATTTCAAATTAGATGGTTTTGGATTATATATAATATAAATATATGGAAAATTACACTTTTAGGTCCATGAAGTTAACCTCGATTCCGCATTTGGTCCCCTTATTCACATAAAAATAAATTTAGTCCTTCATGTTTGAACAATTTGCCACTTTCGGTTTCGGTCCTTTATGTCAATTTAAACAATTTTGATGAGTTTTTTTTTTCTTCTAAATTTCAACCGTATTGTTTGGTACATATTTGATATATAACACATAATTTTAAGGGTAAAATTCATTTTGCACCCATGTACTATGCAAAATGCACCATTTACTCCCTGAAGTATAGAAAACATCAGACACCCCCTGCCGTTAGCCTTTTTTTCTAATTTCCGTTAGTCAAATCCTTTGACCGACTATTGCAAAAATGTTGGCTTTTTTTGATGAAAATACCCCCCAAAAAAATTCTATATATATAGATTGCTTAGTTTTGACAAACGTTCACCAGATTTGTCACTTTTTTCAGCCATTTCTTTTTTCACTTTATTCAATCATTTTTTTAATACTATTTGCAGCCATTTTTCTTATAAAAAACTGAAAAGCCTAATGAATAAGAATGAAACTTTATAGATTATGAATGTGAAAAACCCACCAAAAAAAAAAAAAAACTAAAAGCCGTAAAATCTAAAAGAAACCCTAACATTGGAATAAAACCATATGAAAGAATTGCAAATGAAAAACAATAATTTTATTTGGAACAGTAATATTAGTAATATTACTATTTTGGCATTCCAATAACTTTGTTGTTAACATAGTAATTTGAAGAGAAAAAAAAGTTTCAAAAAAGAAAAAAAAAATTCAACGCCGGAATCTGGCCGGGAAAAAAATTCAGAAAAAAATCTTATTTTCTAAAAAAAAAATGGGTTACACTTCATTCAGCGCAATTCGCCCAAAAATTGATTCAGATTGGACAATTATTAGAATCGTGTTTTACCATCAGAAATTGTTTTGTTGCATTAACAGAAGTTACATTCACGAAAGAGGAGAAATAAACATAGGAGGGTGGTGCATTAGAAATTTTAAGGGTATTTTTGATATTATAAATAAATTTGGTGGTGAATTGAGATAATTTGAAGGTGGAAATAGTACCACTCTTTGCCCCTATTATAAATACTAGAACTCACTATTCATTTGAGATCAATATTCGATTTTCTTGGGAATTTAGACAGCTCTCTACTCTACAAAACATATTCCCACTAACTTAATCGTCGGTGGTTAATCGTCGGGCCAAACCCCAGCAAGTCACCTAACATACGCGGGAGCGTGTTAGAGAATATTATATTATAGAATTCTCCTAATAGTAGGATTCTAGTATGATTCGGTTACCTAGATTCGTTAGGATTTAGTTACCTAGTCAAACTCTATTACCTTGCATTATTCCTCTATATATATTCCATGTAATCAACCCATAACACAATGGGGGTTTCTATTCTATTACGTATTATTATTTCTCTCTTTCTCCTATTCCATTCTTCCTATAGATTTTGTAGGTCGAACGAAGCATTCTACTCTACGCGGGGATTATCGCTTGACATTCGGATTGTAACTCTACATTCACCTTGGACACGTTGCAATAAACCCCAATTTACCGATTTACTTGAGTTTCAAGATTTGTGAGTGTACAGCATCACACGTAGTCAGCGACCCCGAAACATAGAAAGACAGCAACGAAGATTCAAACAAATATTGGGTAAGTGATGAACTATGAGTTTTCAAGCTGCAACACGTAATATAGTACAATACATTCATACATACATTGATTCACCAAAGATTACAGATAAACTAAGTATTATCAAGCTAATGAAACAGTAACTCCACCTTCGTAATTCCAACCATTGATCATAACACGAGGAGTTATGCCTTCCGGAGCCTCAAAATTAAGTGTTACAGCCATTACCTCACCAGGAACCAACGAGAAATAGTTATCAGAATAATGAACCGGCAAAATTCGAGTGTCTTCACCTTTTTTCTCATCTTTCACCGAAGCATGTACAGAGAAGTGAAGAAAGAAAGCAACACCACTCTCGGCCCCACCGACTTCCGTAACTTTCACATCACTGCCTTTCTTCGAGAAGTTCTTCAGAATCTTCCGGAACCAGCTTTGTCCCTTTTCTATATCAACAAAATCTCCGTTGGTACTCGATGTATTTTGTATGTGCATTTTTACCTCGTAGCTGGACCCTTTGATGAAAGTTAGAGACATAATTTTGAGGGGGATTTTATTCGATTTGTACGGTTCGAGGAGTTTATAATCGCCACCCGGAAGATGTAGCCAATAGAAGTTTCTAGAAATTATTTTCTTGGTGTCATCCGACTTTTTATAGAGTTTGAGGAGGAGGAAATAAACGGGCTTAGCATTGTCGGAACTCGGATACTTAATCTCGGAAGTGGATAATGTTGTTTTGGATGGTATAGTGAGTGTGTCGAAGACTTCATAGTACGGGCATGCTCCTTCTAGATCCCAAACTGAAGCTTCTATAGCTACGTCAGATAGTTCTTTCGATGTCGTGTTCACCACCTGCGTTTATATCCCAATTTAATTCTTCTCTTTTAATGCTAAAACAATTAACATCAAAACAAAATGTTCACCACTTAAAAACACATCCGATGAAAGTAATAATTTCTTAAGAACATGCTACTAGTTATATGTGAACGGACACTCAGAATAATTAAGCACAAAATTCATTACGAACATTTTAGGCCTAAGGCATACAAATTTCGTGTAGTATTTCTACAACTCATATTTAAGCAGCTAGTCAGGCTTAATATGTACTCCCTCCGTTTCATTTTTACGTGTCGTTTAAAAGTAGACGCACACCGATTAAGGAGTTATTAAATAGTCTTGATTTTAGGGGAAGAGTCCTTATTTGACAAAATTACCCCTTCCCAGTATTTCATCCTGTCTTTATCACTTCATTAATCTATCATTAATGTGAGCGTAAAGTTCGGATAAGAAAAAAATTAATTACGCCTTGAAACTCTAAGTAAACTCTAAAGTGACACTCAGGTGGTGTTTGCAAAAGCTTATTTAAAAGCAGAAGTTATGAATTGTGTTTTAAGTTGGTTTTAAGTGTTTATTTCTAAAAGTTGGGGCTGTTTGCAAATTTACTGGAAAATAAATTTAAATAGACAAAGCAGGGTCATGGGTGCTTTAATATATTATAGCTTAAAGTTGCTTATTTTAAGAGAAGCAAAAGCATAAGTTCATTTTGCAAACACTTAAAAATAGATTATGAGCAAAAATAAGATCATAATCTATTTGTAAAAGCTTTTGCAAACACCACCTTAATATGGAAAAAAATGATATTCGTAAAGTGATAATTCTAAGGTAATGGATAAGTTTACCTCTATAAAATAAGTTGCCAGATTAAGCTGGACATGAATTGGTTCAGCAGCACAACGGCAGCCATAGAACCCCGCTGTTTGGTCGTGAAGATGATCGTAGAACTGACCTCTTAGACCTGTCCACGGGTTTTGCGTTTTCCATATCAAGACACCCGTGTATTTGGTCCACATACGCGAGGTCCAACCTTCTAAGAGAGCTCTATATTGGATATAATTAACCAATTGCGCCTGAGAATGAACGTACAGTTTAGGTCGAGACAACAAAACAAGAAATCCGAAAGCCGAATATGGAACTAAAATGTAATCACAAATCACAAATACCTTAAGACAAAAGTCATCAATATCTTTCGGTGTTCCGTATAGTAAAATCTGGTCATGAACCAAGCCCGGTTTCGAATACGGAATGTACTTATGGTAAACCCATATAGGATTAGCGACTTCCTCAACATAACCGCTAGCCAGTTTATTGAATAAGGGGATTTGCCACCCCTCGGGTGGCATTGTGGCTCTGATAGTAGCTGCCACAGGCATTCCAACAGAACCAACTTCGGGATTGAAACCGTACATGTAAAAATCATCCTTGAAAAAGTTTTCGGGATTTTGAATTTCGTAGGGTCCGTCGGTAAAATCTCCCTGCCCATTTGCAAAGCCATCCCACATAGAACCTTGGACGTAAATACGTGTTCCGTCAAGATATTCGCTTGGATCTTTCAAAATCGGGCTAATCTCTTCCTTGGAATTACTTTCGAAATTAGTTTCGAAATAGGGATGGAGTTGCAAATCGTTTTTCAAAGCCGTATTAATGTCATCTGGAGGGACTTGCTCATTGCCTCCAACCCACAGAGCAAGACTAGGATGATTTCTTAGCAGCTTAACAGTGTCTCTAGCACATAGCAAGAAAAGGTCGTGGTCCAATGGACCATCGGGATTAGATACCGGAACACCTCGCCCGTCAACGTCTCCAGTTATCCAGAATTCTTGCCAAACCTACAAAAGTATTTATATAATATCACATATTATTTCGTTTATATTAGACTTTCTCTATAACACTATGACGCTAAATTGTAAAGCAAGCCACCGAGTTTAAATATTTACTCGAGTTATTCCTTGGAAACAGCCCGAAAACTTTAATACATAGTAAGAGGTTGTAAACAAATCAGAACCCACTAAAACTATCCAGAAATAAAAATTAACTTACTTTCCATGGTCCTCGATTCTAATGTACAAGTAACTAAAGTTCATTTCAAGATGGACGAATGGAAGTAGTTTCTATTTATAACAAGTATTCCCACATACCAGAAGACCATATATATCGCAGTAATGATAGAATTCAGGCCTTTCAGCAAGGCCACCACCCCAACAGCGTATCATGTTGAAGTTCATGTCGGCATGAAATTTGATATCGGTTTTATACCGTTTCTTTGAGAGCCGTAGTAATCCATCTGACAGTATCCAATTACCCCCACGGATAAATATTGGCTCTCCATTGACCTTAAATAGCCTGAAAAGCAACAAGTAACGGTCAACTTGGTTTCTCAAGCATTAATATCTGCACCAACCTAGAAAATGCTAATACCTTCCACCAGTAGTAGTATCTATGTCACTCTCAACCTTCCGGAACCCAAAATGCTCACTCCACGAATCAGATTCTCCGTGATCTTCCACATCAACTGTTATTTCTACATTGTAAAGAGATTGTTTCCCCATTCCATTGGGCCACCAAAGATTGGGTTTGTAAAAGAATAACTGCAGTAAAAATATAACCAATGATTCAAAAAATCGTACGATGGAACTCATCAATGAGTAACAATTACCTAGAACTTGTCCATATTACACTAACAGGATGCCTTAAGCACCATGCATATTGCAATTCATGGGTTTCATCATTTTACTTATATTAATTGCTCTACAATATGCATGCTTATGTCTGAGAGCTTTTTTAACGCCCATACTTAACAATGATAGATCCCCAATTGCTGGAACATAATCAAATCATAACAAACGAAGAAAGTAAAGAACATAGAAGCATTAACAGGATAGAAATTGCGATAAAGAAGAATAAAAAAATAGAAACCAACCTCGGGTAAAGTATATTGAACATGAGATCCAGCAGGAATAGAAAGCTTCTGTGTCTGAAGATGCTCTACCAGGATTAGATCTCCTTCAGGTTCAGTTCCCACTTGAATATTTAGAGTACAGTCAGCAACTAAGTTGCTTTTGTTAACCAACTCCACTGTTGTATGAAGGTAGGCTCTCTTGTAGTCGTCAAAGAATGATGAGACTAAGTGAGGATCCACTATCTTCACTGGCTGCATGAAAAACACGGAATCTGAGTAAAGAATCAAAATAATAAAAGATGATCATTCAATAGGCAAAAGAAAGGACCAGTAAGTTAAGATCCAATATCTTCACTGGCAGCATGAAAAATTTGGCATCATAAAAAAAGATAAAAAATAACTAATTAAGTGATCATTTAATAGGTGAAAGGGTGGCTCAGACTATTGATTGATTCCCTATCAGAACTTAAGTCCTACGTCAACCATATTCGAGAAAGTAAGAAAACAAATTCTACTTTTAAGTCTGCAGCCAAAATATAAAAGAGGATTCTTCTCATATTTAGTATAAAACATGTCGAAAAAAATTCATTTGATGATTTTCAGGGAAAATTAGTGCCAACGTGGGGGAGAATATTATACACTTAAGTGCATAGCTTACCCCAGTAAATGAAAGAGAAACCTCATCCCAGATGCCAGTGTTCCTATCCCTGAAAAATTAAAATGAAAACTTAAATGTAAGTTTTGAATACAAGTATGGAAAGAAGCAATAGAATTTTAATATTAACTTTATATAAATTCATTTTTTTCACTCAGTGAAGGATTAATAGGGTCTCAATGCTAGCATCTTATTTTTTACAAGCTTTATACAGGCAGTAGCCTCCGGTTAGAGAGGTGAGTTTTAAAGAGCCTGGTGATAAAATGAAACAGAATAGCAATTCTTTGTTGATTCATTGCTGGAAGAAAAAAGGTCAGCTTTATCACTTCATTTTATTGTTTGGTGCTTTTAAAATTTGAGAATCAGGACTAGTTGAGTTGAAAGGTTGATTAATTGAATTTAAAGATTGGTTGACATGCAAAAACAAGAAGAAAAAAAACTTGTTGGGCTTCCTCATTTCCAAACCTGGGGTAAAGTGTGATTTTTTTAAATGATATAGGTTCCGAAAAATAGAGCTCAAAAGACTGTTTAGTTTCTGAAATGTTTACAATATAAATTTTCAGAAATTGCATAAAAGCAGAAGCACAATAAAATGAAAATGAATCAAAACAGAGGTTAAGTTCTGAAACCAGGAGGTGTTCCTTTTTTCTTCAAGTAGTTATTAGGTTCGTGAGAAATCAATAAATCACCTTATAGGAGCCATCCAATCCCAACCCTCAACGTATTGTGCCGCGACATCCTTCCCAATCTAGAATTAACATTAAAGTAAGGTAAATATTCAATTGGAATGGTCCATATGTTGCAGAAATTTCAATGTGCAAACATCATTGCCAAAAACTACGATCATAAAGCAATTGATAAGAACAGCATACTCAGGTATACTATAATTTTGATTGCAATAGTACACTAGCAACAACTATTTAGACAACTATTACATGGGAGTATATGATAGATGATAGATGATGCAACGAATTCTTATTTTTACAGTCAGAGGTGTCAGATATCCATGATCAGTCAACCTACTTGAGTACTTCAGTTTGTTCGTCTAACCAGAATAACTAAAGATCAGGTCAAAGAAAAACTATATACTTGCACATTATCTATCCCTCCAAAAAGAATAAGGAAAAAATAAGTGCAGTCCTGA